CTACACAAGGAGTTTTCTCCCGGTCCCCCTGCGGTGTCCCCCTTTGTGCCGCCCTTAACGGTCCAGGAAAACAGAAACCCAACCCGACTCGATGCTCTGTAGGTTAAGTGCTTGCTTAGAGGAGGCGCGTCGTGTGAGAGATGTCTCTATGTTCGCAAAGGGGCTGCGTTTGAACGCTGTAACTGTCAAAGAATCACGGAGTCACAGAACCACCGGGGTTGAAAGGGATCTCTGGAGACGATCTGACCCAACCCCCCTGCCAGAGCAGGATCACCTAGAGCAGGTTGCACAGAACAGCGTCCAGGCAGGTTTTGGATGTCTCCAGGGATGGAGGCTCCACAGCCTCCCTGGGCAGCCTGTTCTTGTGCTCTGTCACCCTCCGGGTGAAGCAGTTCCTCGTCATGTTTAGGTGGAACCTCCTCTGTTCAAGTTTCTGCCCATTACCAGAATAATTGACCCAAATCAGCATGGCTGTGTGATACCGTAAAAATTCGGTTGCAGAAGAACCCGCTAAGACTTAATTTGAAGTTTTAGAAGGCAGGCATTCTTTATTTGTGGCGCTGGATGCACGGGGGATAATTCCACCTAGCGTGCGTACTGCATGTAGCAACTAGTGGAATTTATGTTATTCAGTAATATACATACACATAGTTCTTCCCGGAATTTTCATACATATTCATATTGTTTACAAGAAATTATTTACAGAGAGTCTGCCTTTCTCTGGAGTCTGCGCAGTGAGGAGTATTCCAGGTGGTGTACTTCCTCGTCTCAGTTGGCTGGTCTCATCTAGGGACAAGGATATTTCTCAGCTTCTTATCTGTTCACACGTACTAAAGTATGGAAACTCCTACTACGACAAACATGCGTCAAGGACGGGATGTTTGTGCTAAAGTTTTGAGGCTATGTGTACCAAGGACAGAGTGATTACCAAAAAGATAGTGATTATGTGCCAAATACAAAGAAATTATTTTCTTGTGAAAACTTCCATTCAGCTAGGCTATATTAGGGTATCAGTGAGACAAGTGTTTGCATACAGTAAAATTATCTGTGGAAGGATGATCTTTGCTTTGTTAAAGTTGCCATGTTTATACCCAGTGAATTAAGGAAATTCATCCTACATAATCAGTCAAGCTAGTGCTTAAGTATGCACAATTTTCTATTTCAAGTTTGAGAGTGAGTTGTAAACAGTTTTGGACTGTATGAAGTTTCAGTTAATGTGATTTGGAATACTTGTTGCTGCCTTGCCTGAAAAGTTTAGGTGTATGAAACCACAGTAATCAAAGTTTTAGGTTTCTGTATGAACAAGCTGAATTTTTATATTCTCTGGGCCATGGAGTTTATGTGGACAAAAACGTAAAGGTTTTAGGCCCACGTCAGAAGTCATGAAGTGTTGACAAAACCAGTAGTGGCAGAGACTTGACCTGCTCTTAGTGACCTCTAGTTTGTAGGAAGTTAGTGGGGTTTTTTTCTCCCTTAAGAAATTTGGCAGGAGGTACCAAGAAATTTTGTTTTGACAACGCTATACATGATTAGAAGGAAAACTGGTGTTCTGTTATAACTGACAGTTACTAGAAGTCTCCCTTTGCAACTTGTTCTTTGGAAACTGGGAATGGAACCATGGCTCTGCATCTGTAAGTTTGAACTGTGTTGTGTTCCAGTTGCCTGTTTTTTAGAAATGTGAAGAGCAGCTCTGGTATTGTAGTTGGATTCAGGGAAGTGTGCTGAAGAGTGCATGAAAACGTCAGTCATCGACAGTATGTCTGTTGTAACTTCTTCCTTTTTTTGCTACTAATTTTACTGTGAAAAATTACAGGGTTTTGGGTAGGGAGGGGCTGCAGGGTTGACCTGTGTGGGTAAAGGTGATGAAGTGCCCAGTACTGGTCACAGCTGGATCCGGCTGTCTGTGACACTGATGAAAACAGCCCATCACACACCAAAATTTCAAGCAGAGGAGCTCGTGGCACACACTCAACAAAGAGCAGCAGCCACCAGGGACAGGAGACAGAAAAGGACACACAGGAAGAGGCACACGGAGAGATGTGAAGAGATGCTCTTGCAGGTAGTGGAAAACAAAACCACTGTGCACTGACCCGACCACCCTGCAATTTCCTCACTGGAGGAGGGGACCAAGTGTGAACCACGCAGAAAACGAGGGAAGTTGACAGCAGGAAGGCAGGAGACCAGGCTGTCCTTGGAAAGGGGCAGTTCATGGCCTCTCCACACCGGTCACCCCTGCAGCCCTCTCGCTTCTGAAACTCTGGCGTTTATGCCCAATGCACTACCTTAAAGTGGCTTTTGAAAAGAGAAATTATGCCACTAAGATGCTTGTGCTTTGAATTTGTCATGAGAATAACAACAACTTTTCTTCTGTTCCCCACAGAAAAATATACTGGTCGGAAATGATGTAAGGATGGACAAAGATGGTCTCACTGATCTCTATATTCAACATGCCATTCCCCTGCCTCAGCGTGACTTACCAAAAAGTAGATGGGGGAAAATGATGGAAAAGAAGAGGCAACAAAATGAGTTAAAAAGTGAGAATAAAAGGTAATTTAGCTTTTATTGGGCTAGATTTGGGCAATTTAGGACAATGCATTTAGCTTAATCTTTTGTCCTGGTTTGGGCTAAACCAGAATTAATTCTGTTTTAGTCATTTTACTTTTCAGTTAAGTCTCCTCTAACTAACGGCACTTTCTGAAACAGCAGCCTGTTTTTCCAGACAGTGACTGCTCCTAGCAGTGATAAGGCCTGATGTTTATAGTTCGTACCAAGGAATGGTGTGCAGAGGTCCTTGCTTATACTTGTTCTTGTAGTGACCAAGGTCCCTGCTGAATCTTGTACTCCTCTCTCCTTGAGGCTGAACAACCCCAGCTCTCTCAGCCTGTCCTCATT